TGACTTCTGCAGACTTTTCTTCATTCTTTTCATCTACATCACTCGCTAAGGATTCTTGTCACTTCTCTTCCTCCTGCTGCCTTTTTTTCTCCCATTTTCTTTGTGTGGAATTTTCTTTTAAATCTTTCTGCCTCTTCTCTTTTTTCACTTTGTGCACCCCTCGCCATTTGTCCTGACCTGACCTGCCTGTTGGAACAGCCCCTGTTAGTAATAAAGAAGAAGAAGAAGAAAGAAAAAAAAAACCCCGCAAATTCTGATGAAAACCTGCACTCTAGTTTGTTCTTGACTTCTCGGATGAAGCGTTTTAATTCTTAGTAACCATTAGGAGACGAATGGACCTCAGTTTGCTTTCCCTCATATTAATAATTAACTCCCATTAGTGCCTATTCACTACTGTTTTGTAAATGTTTATACTGCTTCTGTAACTGTGTCACAGTGAGAGATTATAGTTTGCCAGCTTTAGTATTTATGATTTTATCCCCAGTTCTGTTCTTGTATTACTCTTCATAAGACAATGGCGCTGCATTAAATATGTGCAGGCTTAAACATTTTTTGTTTTGTTTTGTTTGCCTGCTCCTTCTATTGTGTGAATTTAGGGATGATTTTTTTTATCATAAGAAGTTGCTAATCAAAATTTTATGGTGTTTATAGGTGAGGCGTGAACATTTTATTCATCACACAGGCTTTTGGTCTTGAAAGGTTGAGTTCATCTATGGGAGAGGGTATGTTGAGCAAATTTCTAAGAGAACCAAGTCTGGTTGTGTGCAGACAGAGAACATTTTTGCATACATTTCCCTCATACACAGGTGCATTACGACAATAACACAACTTGACATTCTTGTGTGAACCTGTTGTCCTGYTGTTATTGGTTCATTCATGCATTCTCAGTTTTGCTTACTGTTGATTTTAGAGGTAGATTGACCTTTAGTTCTCATCCCTTCCTTACTGCAACAAGTTAAACCGGAGTTAATGACAGACACTAAAATCTGCACAATCAAGTTTTAGCTCAGGTTCTTTTCTGTGTGTGTTCACATGTATTTGTGTTGGTAAATGTCAGAAATGTTATTACTTGAACCCTCATTGCCACGTTTTGTATACAGTAAAGTAATACAGTTGTGTTTAGTGGTGGTGTGCTTCTTGCAACACCGACCTCAACATTAAACACTGGCATGAGTTCAAACAGAGTTTTGACTGACTTCCTGTTATGTAGCTCACTTTGAAGCAGGCAGACATCCTGGATGTTTAGGTGGCCCAGTGTTAGTTGAAAATAAACATTTCCAAGAAGAGGTGACTCATTGTAAGTGATATAAGATTCAAACAAACCAAAAAGTCAAATATGCAAATGCATTTTTTTTCTTTTCCTTACGTATTTGAGTGTTTTGCAGCTGAGCTGAAAAATATTATACGGGACTGGATGCTTTAAAACCCACYACAGAAGCTTGTGTGTCCAAATGGACCTGGCGGTGACGGGTTGTTTTCATTCCATTTCTGACAGCACAGATGAGACTTCTTCACAGGCTTGTTGATTGATTGAAGCGATTTGTATCTCCACATGCACGGTGTGTGTGTGTAGGTTGCATTTTTGGGTGTGTGCTTGTTTGTATGTGAAGCATCAGGCTTGAGCTGCAAAATACAAGGAAGTTATTTGTCATGAAATGTTTGTAAAGCAGAAATACCAGGTATTCACTTTCATCCTGTTGGTTTTTATAATACTTTGGACAGTTAATGCAGTTTAGTAAGTTCCAGTTTGTGATCAGATGTCTTTTTTTCCCTGATTTTTGGACATTTCACAAAAATAAATAAAACATAGTGCTAACTAGCATTTATAAATATTTTGTGAGATTTTGTGTCCTAATTCTTACAAAGTATACATTTTTAATGAACTTGAGCATTGCAGTGTAGTACTATTAAGAGTTTGTTGGATTTGTTGAGAAATACTAATGTTTTAAGAAACTGAAGCTTATTTCTGTTTTTATAGTTTTCTAATGTTTAGAATCCATCATAGTTACATCACCAACCACGCAAAGTTTTGAATATTTTATAACTTTATTGAGATTTTAGCTATGCACCTTGTTCTGGTGGTGCTGAGGCTATTTAGCAGATCAGAGATTAAACAGAACCGGGTTCTTTTTTGCTTATCACTGTTGGTTCTTACTATCTCAGATATCATAGGAAATAATTGTCTTTTTTAAAGTAAAATTTACCAAAGTCATTTGGGGTTTTGAGGTTTCCAGTCTGGTTGCTGCTGTGCAGGTATTGAACCCGTGACCTTTCTTTTAGAAGCCGCCTCCCCCGCCGAGCGCTACTCAGACATCACATCTGAATGTAGACAGGTGCTGCTTTTAGAAACAAACTGAAATCTGATATGCAATGGCTTAATTTAAATTTACTGCCTGTGTTGCTGTGCTGGGGAGGTGTTAATGGTAATTTACTAAGAATCAGAGTTGGTTTGTTAGATTAGGTTACATTTCTTTTGGTCTTTCATGTTACTTTACGGGTTGAAATTTAGATTTTTAACACCACTTACGTAAATCAGAAGTGATGAAGCTATAGATATAGTAGGTGTTGAGGTTTAAAAAAACCTTTCTTTAAAAATAACCTAAAACTAATTGTTGTGTTGGAGAGTGCACACTGCTTTGAGAAGACGGTAAGATAATGAAATGCTATTAAACCCTAGATAGACTGATAAAGCTCTGGGCATTAAGGTTAATTATTCATGAAGACCTTATAAAAGATGGGTATAATTACAGTTCCTTTGGCTAGAAGGTATCTACTCCTTGAGTCGGTGTCTTTTTTTATGTCCTGAATGTGGAACTGCGCTGCATGCTAATTGCAGCAAGAATCACAAAAGAAAATTGTACTTTTTTCCTTTCTTTTTCTTTTCTCGGCCAGCCGCTTTCACCTCTGGTCTTGATGTTCTCAGTCACAGCTTCTATTTCTGTCACCATGCCTTCAACCCCAGTTTTCTCAGTTTTCCCTCTTAACAATACCCCTCATTTGAAGCAGTTAGTCTAGCGTGACATCTTGGATTAACACAAACAGAACCTTTTCGGTTGTTTCATTACTTACCTGGCGGCAGAGGCCTTTTTAAGGTCAGTCTGTACTCTAGACAAGGCACTGATTCAGAAAGATCCAGCTCACTAATCTCTATGTGTGTGTACTTGTTTTGCCTACAGAGTGAGGACCATGTTAGGTTTTTAATCAACAAAGTGAGGTCATTTTTGGAAAGTGAGGACCTTTTCCCGGTCCTCACTTTGGCTACACCTCTACTTTACTTTACTAGTTAGGTTTAGCGGTATGACGTGAATTAAGTTTTGGTTCAGATTAGGGTTAACTATTGACCAGTAATAGTTAATTTTAGAGAAAATGTCTGGGTTAGGCCTGAAAATGGTTACAAAAATGAATGGAAGTCAATACAAAGTCCTCAGTTTGATGCCAATACAAGGATTTGTGTGTGTGATTGTACTCCTGTCTGTTGTTATGTCTAATATTGGTCAAATATGTTGAACCCATTACCCCCAGGAGCAGTTATTGGACCGTTTGGGGCCTGAACATGTGAGGGAAATAATCTGTGAACAGTTCTTAACAGTATGTTTTTTAATTGAAGTCATACGTTTACTTTTCATAAAACAGACATCTCTGACATAAGGAGAGACTTTGTGGTTTTTACCAGAAAAGGGGTCTGACAAAGTGTGAGGTTTTTTTCTGGAAGAGTGGYATTTTTTTTAGCTTTTAAAGAGGCTTACTTCACATAAGAGCCAGTTTAGTTGGCTTTGGAATGAACAGAGGCAGAAAAATGCCTTCTACTCAGAAATCATAACGAGCAAACACAAGATTCTTGGTAGTCTTCTTTAATAGGCAGAACATGAAAAATAAAATATGGGTTTTGAACCTAAATCACACAACCTCTGAAATTATAACACTTATGTTGTTGTTTTTTTTACTCAACAAGACTTAAATCTGGTTATAAGCCAAACAAATGGTTATTTTTATTGCAAATTTTTACAGCATTTGATGTTGAAATCTTGTTTTTAATTCGTAATTTTTCATAATTTCATTTTTTTGTGAAGTTTAGTGTAGCTTTGTATCTCCTACCGACAATTTTATTGTCCTGGTTTGTTTTCCCTAATCTGATCACCTTGAAGGACACTTTTTCCCTTCATGTGTTTAAAAATATAAATTCTCAGGTTACTGGTCTGTTAAGTGTGTGTTCACTCAAATTCTAGTTGTGAAGTGGTAGAATGTGGAACACTATTACCCATCATAGACGGATAAAATGTGTCTTTCTGCAAAAAAAAAAAAAAAAAAAAGACTTGTTCAAACCTGTAAACCACACTGCCCAAACGTTTTATCCAAGCCTCTGTTCGGATGAATTATTCTATTCAGTTTGTTGCAGTTTTTTTAAAATCCAATCTGGTATGTTGAGCCTCAGAAAATAGAGGTGTGGCGTGTGTTGAAGGATGGGAGAAGCAAGACTATAAAAGGAGGCGGAAAAAAGAAAAAAAATTGGACAGCCACACAAAAAATAAAACAATTGGATATAAGCGACCAGCAATATAAACGTATTTATAGATGTGTAGTTTCTGGTCATAGGCAGGTACATTCTGTTTAGAAACCTGTTATCAAATACCATTGCAGCCTTTTCTTTTAAATGTTGGGTGGGTGCTTCAGGTGTTTAAACAGTTGCTTTGTGTAGTCAAAAGTCAAGAAGGGTTTGGTTTTGTTTGTTGCAAAGATAAAGTTGAGTTCCTAGAGTGAGGACACTTTTTATGATTTTAGTGTCTACCAGATAGTATAAGATTGATAAGATTGAGTCTTTGTTTTATTATTAAATTAATAAATGCACTCAAAGGCTAAATATGGTCGTTATCTTGACTTTTTCATTCGACTAAAAAACGTGCAATAAACAATGTTTAAATCGCCTCACTTTTCCTCCTTTTCAACCCCGACCTTTTCTCTTCATTTATCCCTTTTCTGTTTTTTATCTCGTCTGTCCTCAGCGTAGCTAGAAGGGAATCCTGCTCGAGGGATTCGCGTTTCGTCAATGAGGAACTACCGGCTCATCTTCTGCCACAACCTGAAGCAGCCATAGATGGTTCAGTGGTTCACTGGCTAGAGGAGGAGAGGACAGGACACACTTTCACGTGCTACACGGTAACTTTACTCACACAGAGCCATGTTTATGACAGAGTCAAGAAACAGATGTGGATCATCTAAAAATGTGTCTCTTTGTTATCTTAATTTTGTGAAGCATCTTGTGCAGACAAAAAACAAACAAACAAACAAATCAACATTTAGCATCCCACACAGAAATTCTGAAGGAAAGACACGGTGTTGGAATATTTAGCTTTCTAATRACCAGGTTCTCGGAAATACAATGCATTTAATAGATAGGTTCTTAGCACAGGGTTCACTGTTCTGTTATGCTTCCTAAAAATTATAAAACAGCAGTTCACTTAGTTATCTTTTTATTTTAGATACGCTTTCTGTAGTTCTGATTTATCAGATTTATGATTCTTAGAAACCAAAATTACAGTGAATAGGCTTTTTTTTCCTGTTAATTTGTTGCCATTTTCTTTTTATGTAATGCAAAGTTGATCATAAAACGAGCCGAAGTTTTTGGGTGAAGTGAACACTGATCGACTCCTCTTGGCAACCTGATGTACTTATTTAGCCAAGCTCTCCTATTCTGTATGTTCTTTGTAAATGTCTGTTATGCAACTTGATTATTTATAAAACTTGATAAAAAAAACAAAATTTTAGAAAGACCTGGATCATTGAAATAAACTGTAACCTTGATTTGCCTACAGATGTAAATTGGCCTTAGGCTAAATCTGGTGCAGTGCAACAAATGTTTTTACATTTATGTTTTAATTGCGCACTGTCCTTATTAAATAAACAAATAAACAAATAAATAAATAAATAAGAAAGAAAGAGAGAGAGAGAAAAAAAAAGCATTTTTGACAAACATTTGTTCGTCTTCCTCCTGAAAAGTAGACTGCACATCATCTGGCACTATTTACATTCAGATTACTGACCAACTGGCCATCGTCAAAATCAGACTGGGAAAATTAATTATTGCTCTTTTTGTTTTGCTGCTTGTTTTGTAAAGATTGTTTTATCTGATTGTTAATGGCATTTTGCTGTTAATYTGAATTAAAGTGAAAAAGAATGCAAAAACAAGAAACCATATAGGGCTGAMAATTAAATTTCAGATCCTTTGAGCTCATTTTGATTTTTAATGTCTTCTAAGGGAATATAGTTAACACAATTTTAACAATTGTCAGATGTTTTAATATATTATGTAATACCATCCATTCATCCACCTGCCCACACTTTTCTCTTAACATTTTTTATAATTTTTTTTCTTCTTGAAAGACGTTAAGTTTTGGCGGGGTTGTGGTGAGGAGGAGTCGGCGGRGGTGGTGGAGGAGGAGGAGGCCATGAGGAAGAGCGTGTCTCCGTTGCCAGGCAACGAGGGCGGGAGCTCCGCCAGCACCACTCGGGTTTTTGGCGTCCCTTTGGAGGAGGTTTCACGCACGCACACGGTCAGCGGCCACGAGGTTCCCGCGTTGGTGAAGCACATCGTTGACTTCATRGAGGAGCACGGTGAGAAACGAGGACTAATATTATGGTTCACAAGGGAACACGTTACGAATGAGTTGATTTTATTATCAGTTGTGCAAAATCTCTGTTTATGAAGTGCTTTCATTACTGCTTAATTGATTCTGAGAAGACATTTTGCAACWTTAAAGCCTTCAGAGTGAAAKCTCAACACATTTTTATAATGAATACTGTTCCTCATTCAGAAATGACTGATGTCTRGGTATCAGTGATGAGACAACACCCTGCCGAGAATAAAATAATTACACAGCATCATGCAGAGAATAGAATAATTACATTTCCTTCTCTCTTTAAATATTAC